ATTTTTAAAATTTTTGATAAAATAAAAATATAATATATTTTTGAAATTCTTATTTTAATACAAATTGTATTTTAAAGTTTCCTTTCTTCTTCTCCTCTTCCTAAAGAGAGTGTAATATCATTTAATGTTAATAATATGAAATATGATTAGTACACATTTAATGCGACATTTTTTTGACACTTCGTATGATTTAATTATTAAAAATGTAATATAAGTATAATTAATATATTTTTGAAATTCTTATTTTTATACAAATTGTATTTTAAAGTTTCCTTTCTTCTTCTCCTTTTCCTAAAGAGAGTGTAATCTCATTTAATGTTAATAATATGAAACATGATTAGTACACATTTAATGCAATATTTTTTTGACACTTCGTATGATTTAATTATTAAAAATATTATATAAGTACAATTAATTTTATCAATTTTTATATTATATATGTATAATTATATTTTTAAATTTATTTATATTTAATTTTATATCAAAAAATAATAATTTTTTAATAAATATATTATGTACTATATTAAATTAGAGTATATATCAATTAGAATTCTAATAATATAATATTAACTTAGATTGGTTATCATTTTTTATTTTATTTCTGTACTATAATTGTACAATATAACTTTATTAATTTAATTAAAAAAATAAGACAATCCTAAATCGTTTCTTATACAAATAAAAACTCTATTATCAAAACTCCCTACTTTCTTGAGCAGTAACAGTGTGAGCTTGTGTATTTTTGTTGCCTTATTAATTCTTACTATTTTTTTCATCAACTTTTTAATTCTTACTTCAATATAATAGATGATACTATTATTTTGTTATATTTTTATTAATCTCTCGATATCTAATAATCATATTACGTCTCAACTAATTTGAAATTAAACCGCGCCAAACTCTATTAGGGAAAAACTTTCTAGCACTTATTTGTTTATTCATAAGACTCGAACTTGAAACCTTATTTAAGGGGAATCGAGTTTCTTCCACTCGAAACAACAAATCATTAATTATCATTTTATTACTATGATATTACTATGTTTTATTGTTGTATTTTCTATAGGTTGACACTCTAATTTTTTTACCTAATTAATTATATTTAAAAAAATAATTAGAAATTTGATCAATTCAACCAAACCATATCAATTTGATCTAAATTAAATTAGTTTAGTTATAATATAATAATGAATTGAATTGATTTAATAATCTTATTAATAAATTAAATTAATTTGATTTTAAAAATATTAAAATTCAATTCAATCCCTCTGCAAACACCCCTACTTCTTTCCACTTCTTGTTCTATATAAAGAGGAAACGAATTCCTCCAAATAATAAAATTTATCGAATCTCATCTTGATCACAGACAATAATTCTTCCAAATGGCAAATCTATACATTAATCAGGCGAAACACTACGCCGTGGGTCGCCCCGGTTACCCCAAGCAGCTCTTTCAGTACATTGCCTCCAAGACACCTTCTCATGATCTTGCTTGGGATGTCGGCACTGGCACCGGCCAGGCTGCCCGATCTGTAAGTCTCATCTCGATCACACCGGCGGACTCTTTTCCCATTCCTTCAGGGGATGGGCAAACTGTCATCCCCATATCAAGATGCTTCATTTTTTAACATGTTTTTTCTTTCCCACTTTTCAGTTGGCTGAATTATACAAGAATGTTGTAGCCACAGATACCAGCCCAACACAACTGGAGCACGCAACTAAGCTCCCCAATATACGGTACCAACACACCCCTCCGACAATGTCTTTGGAAGAGCTCCAACAGAAGGTGGTGGCAACAGAATCGAGTGTGGATCTGGTGACGGTGGCCACAGCCATGCACTGGTTCGACCTCCCCAAATTCTACGAACAGGTTGTGAATCTATAACAGATGTTAATGTGAAAGAAAGAGAAACTATATAGACCAATGGTAAAAGAATGTGTAAGAGGAATTTAAACAAACGGGTGGTGGGCATAAGCCAAATATCAACCAACAATCAGAAAATCGCGTGCAAACAAGATATCAAGCAAATAGTAACTAATCTCTGCGAATAATTGTAACAGGTGAGGTGGGTGTTGAAGAAACCCGACGGAGTGATCGCCGCCTGGTGCTACTGCCTGCCGGAAGTCAACGAGGCCGTCGACGCCGTCCTGCTACGATTCGACAATAACCTTGACTGGGATCCGGAGCGGAAATTGGTGGATGAGAAGTACACGACGATCGATTTCCCTTTCGAGCCGGTGGAGGGAGAGTCGGACACGGGCCCGTTTGATCAGTTCGCAATAGAGAGGATGATGAGTTTTGATGAGTACTTAATGCTCCCGAGGACGTGGTCCGCGTATCAGAAGGCGAAGGAGAAGGGCGTTGAGCTTCTCGGCGCTGATGTGGTGGAGGATTTCCGGCGGGCTTGGAATGTTAACGGCGACGGTCAGAAATTGGTCAGATTTCCGATTTATTTAAGGATCGGGAGAGTAGGTGTCACGCCCCAACCTAGGGGTTAG